TCTATTGCAGCATAACTAAGGGAGGATTCAGGGTCACCTGGTCCAGCCCTAACTATATGCTTTAGCAAAAAGGAAAGTTTTAAGCCTAATCTTAAAATTAGGGTTAGGGTTAGTTGTCATAATTGCTGTCATTATTAAAACAATTTCTTAAAATAGATAAAATATCACCACTTAGTTCAATCTATGTGAACCCTGCTGTGAGCTTGTGTCAGTTTAACACCATGATGGGTTTCTGTGTCTCCGTGTTCGTTCTTGATCTTTTCCATGAAATTATGTGGTTCCACCTGAAAGTTCAAGCTGTATATTTGCTTGTTAAATTTTTAATTAGTCTGCTGAGCTACCAGATGTTTTTCACAGTCTTCCTTAACACCTCAAGCAAACCCTGCTGCTGTTTGCAGGACGTCCTGCAGCCAGCAAAGGAACCTAACTTGTTTGTTCGTGTATGACATGAGTTTGGTCTGTTTTCCCTCCCTGATAAGTTTGCTACTCACAGGTTGTTCACTCACAAATCCAGGAGTTGATCCTTAAAATTTGAATCTTCATTGTGGACACAATTTAATCAGCAGACTAAGAACTGGAACGGGTGCAGGAGAGTGCTGGGTCTGTGCTGGCCTAGGAGCAGACACAGGTGGAGGTGAAGGCTCAGGGGCAATCACTGGTGGAGCTATAATCATTATTGGCACAGACAAGAGAGCACAACAGTCTTTAGGAGTAGCAACAACAGAAACAGTGCTTACCTGGGCTCCAGATGGAGCGACAGTCCTTGAAGGCTTTAGCTGTGCTACTAACATAGTCTCAAGTGAAGCACCACAGAAAGACTCTGCCATGGCAGCTTGGCAACACAAAATTCAGGCTGTGTCTTCACAGGCTGAGAAAAACAACATTCATTATCTAATTTCTTGGGCTGGTGAACACAGAAACAGTCACAGATGCTCAGTCGGCTCAGGAGCAGAGACATTAGGGTTTGCCAGCTTAGAAACAAGAAACTTTGTTTGTTGCTGACACTGAAACACAACATGTATTCCCAATACTGCCTGACAGTCATCAGAGCAAACATGGAGAGAAACATGTTTTAAATGCAGTATAGATTGTCTGCTGGAGTCATATGTTTGATATGTCCAAGCTGTTTAAGCTATACCTGTCATGATGCTGGAGCTCAGGACCCTAAATAGACAAATGAACATTATTTGGTTGCTCAGCAGTAAACAAACGAAGGAGGACACCTCTGAGATAAGCAGAGGTCATGGGTGTGAGACCTTGCTATGTGATGGTGAGTGGGTCAGCTCCAACCCAGGTTAAATACCTGGGACTCTCCACCTTCGGCTTTTAGAACTGAAGAAGCTTCTCAGATGAGAGGTGAAATGTCTTCAAGAAACGTTCCTTTCTCCTTAGACTGCCATGACCTAGGTGACTGAGAACCAACACAACTTTTTAGTTGCATACACTTTTGAGCAGCTAAGCCACATTAGCTAGCTTGTGCTCCTGTGATGCTCTTACCTCGTAGGAGCAGTACATTCTTTGTGTGCAGGCTGTGATCAGCTGTGCTGCTTCAGTAATAGCTTCTCTGTGTGGATTTAGCCAGCCAAATTTCAAAAAGATATAAACAAATGTTATGTGAGTTCTACGGCTGATAGCTGGTATAACAGGTGGAATTCAGTGAGTGAATCTGACCAGTGTTATAAACTAATGTCTGTTACCTTTGATGTAATCGAGATTTAGCCAGTCCAACATAATGCATCACTGTAAACGTTATCACAGTCCTGCTAACACACCACTTTATGCTGCGCTAAGCTGCCTGGTATTTTCATGCAACCTGTGAATAACCCAACATTTGCATACGTCAGCTCGTTTTGCAAGATGTTTCAGAAAAACAAGCCAAAAACTTGATAAATGATCTGATTTTAAATACCTACAGCGATTTAGGACGTTACATGTGAGCTTGCTGAGCAGTCCTCACCTTTGAAAATAATCTCTCCTCTTCCTCTTACATTTTCCTGCAGCTATCAGTGCTGCACATGTTTTCTGCACATTTAGCTCACAGATATGTTTTCTGACAAACTGCGTGGGAACAGTTTGTGTGTTTGGGGATTTTGATTCAGCCATTTGAAATTACGCAGATCACTCTGGCCCACTTTAACCCCTGGGTTTCACATATGTGCAGCGCAGATAATTGTATCATTAAATAAGCCAAAAATATGCAATATGATGCTTCTTTCTGTTGAACATTTGACTGACAGATCTAAAATGTAGCACTTTGTCTTTTGTGTTTCTTCTTTAAATCAGTTAAAACATAAAAGTGTTAGAAAAGGATAATACAATAAATTTTACATGTACTTAGGTTCTATTTACATTTTATGAAACAGTTGAATGTAATACACCACAAACATAGGAAGGAGTTAATCCAACTTAAAATGGACTTTCAGTTGTTCTGGCTGGTTTAGAAAGACAAGTAGGATGCAAATTATATGTAAATCCAAAAATATTTTTCAATTATATTTTCTTTTTTGGCTTCTTTAAATCATTCAGTGCCAACCAAAATCAGACGTGCTCCATAGAAACCTTCCTGTTCGGTCATTCCAACACATCCCAAAGATGCTCTGTTGGACTGAGATCTGGTGACTACAGAGCAGCGGTATCCAGCTACAATAGCAGGAGGTCCACTCCATCATCCAGTCAATCTGGGGTCCGAACATTTTAAATGAACCAACAAAAATATTTTCTTTCATGTTTATTAAACATTTAATTAACAATATAGATTTTTGTCTTGTAACTACTGATCAATTATTCATGTGCTCATTACATCATCTGCTGAACAGAAAAGTGCAATCCAGTTCAAGTACTGATATTAAACAAAAAACTATTTAACAAAGAAATTATGCAATAATCTATTGCACACAAACCAACATTAATGTGTCTCGATGCTCAATCAACCAGGTAAGTAAATCCCAAAAGTTTGATTCTGTTCGTCAGGATGTTTTTAGTGGGAAACGTTTCGTCATCATCAGGTGACGTCTTCAGTCTCAGCTGACTGCAGGTTTCAGTCTTATAAACAGGACATTTGCACAATGGTAAATGGCCTGTATTTATATAGCGCTTTACTAGTCCCTAAGGACCCCAAAGCGCTTTACATATCCAGTCATCCACCCATTCACACATGATGGCAAGCTACATTGTAGCCACAGCCACCCCGGGGCGCGCTGACAGAGGCGAGGCTGCCGGACACTGGCGCCACCGGGCCCTCTGACCACCACCAGTAGGCAACGGGTGAAGTGTCTTGCCCAAAGACACAACGACCGAGACTGTCCAAGCCGGGGCTCGAACCGGCAACCTTCCAATTCACAAGGCGAACTCCCAACTCTTGAGCCACAATCGCCCCAATGACTGAAACCAGCCCACTGAAGGAACAATGGGCTGTGAGATCAGCTCCTTGATCAATAATATGCAAATTGTCATGACCATTGATCAACAACCACTGATCAGTGGTCATGAGTAGCATTCACAGATAGGGAATGGCCATTCATCTTTCATAGTCCACTTTACATATTTTTGACAGAGCCATCTTCTTTTACCCAGTCTTCTGTGCACCACCAAGTCGTCATTGTGCTGTCAGCAAGTGCGAGCTTCCAAGATAGTCACTTAGCAACCCGCATTGAATGGCCTGCATTGTTCTTCTTTGTCGTTTTTTTGGCAGTTGGTGGTGCAATACCGCCACCAGCTGGCTTAGAGTGTGGACTACAACGTCGCTGACCCACATAGCTGCCCATCGCGCCTGTTCAAAAGTCAGCCACTGCAGCCAGCAGGAATAAAATATCTAACGACATAGAAAATGGGAAAATGCTTTAGGTCCGGAGTAAACCCCCTTGATCTCCAGATTTGGACCGGAGTCCAGGGGTTGGGGACCCCTGCTATAGAGTATATTTGAGTGCAGTGAGATAATTGCCGTGTTCAAAGAAACCAGTTTAAGATTATTTCACCTTTGTGACAAGGTGTGTTATCCTGCTGGAAGCAGGTTGTGTTATCCTGGTAGTTCAGCAGTTTCTGAAATACTCAGAGCAGCACCAACGACCACGCTACTTTCATCTTCATTTAAATCACCTTTCTTCCCCACTGTGACACTTGGTTTGGACTTCATCAGGTAGCCTTGATCATGGCTACATGCCTTAATGCATTGTGTTGTGACATTGTGACTGGCTGACTAGATATTTGCATCAACAAGCACTTAAACAGGAGCACCTAACCTGTGAATGTACATATAAAATGTGGATAGGCAGAACAGTTTATTTTGAACATGTAAATATAACTAAAATAACAAGAGAAAAACGTAAAAACATCAAGTTTCCATGAATATCTAATGTCTACACAGTGTTTATGCTCAAAAAGGAGTAGCATGACATTTACACGTTTTCTGTTTCAACCCCCTTTGTTCAAATTCCATTATTTTCAAATCAATATTCAGAATTTGCCATTTTATAACCCACACATGTTTAACTGTATACAAGTCTACACTCATATACAACACCCCACTAAATCTCTGAGCCGGGGGGAGGGCAGTAAACGGAGTAATGTTTGGGCATTGCTTCATATGGAGTATCAGTGTGTGAATGTGTGTGTGAATGGGTGGATGACTGGATGTATGAAGTGCTTTGGGGTCCTTAGGGACTAGTAAAAGCACTATACAAATACAGGCCATTTACCATTTATCTGTGACAAATACCTGAATGAGTACTTTAAGTTAGTTGAGTTACTCTGGCCTGAATCTATAAAAATGAGGACAAGTCTTCAACAGACACAATGAGACAGCTCAATTTCCTATATCCATGCAGTTTATTGTTTTTAAACAAGTGTGTGAATTTTTGAATTGATGTATTTCTCCTAACTTCATCTCCACACACTGTTCATTTGTTTTGCATCGGTCTGTGTTCTGTTCTGCAGCTCCCTATTCTGGCCTCCTCTATTGTCAGTCTTTACTTCCTGGAGCTGACGGATATTTTCCAGCCGGTGCATTCTGGGTACAGTTGTAATGATCGCAGTCTATCTCTGCCATACATCCTCCCAAGACAGGAAGTCTGTCCATTGCCTTTGCTCTTCAGCCTGGCCTTCGCTGCACCTACTGTCACTGTAAGTACATCTCCACATGTGCAGCTTTCACATTGGCTAGCACAGTAACATAGTGTCTAAAACACCACTTGCTTTCAGGGACTGTGATTACAGGTGTAGGTGGGAATTAGGCTAGTCATAATACTAGACTTTCAAACTTGACACTAATACTGCAGGGCTGGAATGGGCATATCAGGCATTTGCCCGGTGGGCCGACGCACTTTTTGGCTGATCACTGTGCACTGGACCTTCACGCACTGACCGCAGCCTGTTCATTCATTTTCATTACCGACTCTGCCCAGTCAAATCCCTTAATGAAGCCGGGCACTTCCTCTACCGTCGCTGTGGGCTCACGCAACTCGTAGAACAAAGTTTAGGGGTGAAATGTTTTTCAAATTTCCCCACGTTTGCTGTCGAGGCTGCTGCTTCTGCACCATCAACAGTTGTACCAGCGGCAAGCGTTAGGCCTGCTGTTTACCCTCTCTTCATCTCTTTTTGTTCCTTATGCTCCCTCTTTTGTTTTCATCTATATCATTCCCTGGCCACTTTGGGTGGATCGTCCCCAGTATACGCTTTCAGCAAATTGCAGGTTATTATGTTGTCTTTTTATTTACATTTAATATAGTGTCTACACATCTTTGAAAAGAGGGTTGTAGTTTCCACAAATAAAACATAACTAAACTAGGTAAATGCATTCCTTGTCTGACTAATAGAGCTGTTAAGTCTCCTTCTTTTCTTTGTGGAGACAAATGTAGTAAATTGTGTTTGACTGGGAAAGCAATCTTCCCACAGCAGATCTGCACTCCTACTCATTTTGTAGATCTGTTCCCAATGCTGTGGGAGTCTGACCAACCTGAGAGCAGCGAAAGCTCTACACTGTTTCTATGTTGTACTAACAGAAATAATCCAGCCATTTCTCTGTTGACATGAATTATTTTGAACTGACTTTTTTAATACAAATGAAGCTTATGCACAAGTTCAATAAAGAAGATGTATGGCCTCACATCTGTCCACATCCAGGTGCTGCCAGCTAAATCTAAGCACTCCCATCATCACTCATCATCACTGGTCTAGTCCAATCACATTCTCCCGACCTTCTCCAGGCCAATCAGCATTCATGCTGTATACTGCCCATACTGGGCAGGGATAGCTCAGTAGGTAGAGTGGTGGCCCCATGATCGGAAGGTCGGGGGTTCGATTCCCCTGAACAGCTACCCTGAGGTACCCCTGAGCAAGGTACCGTCCCTACACACTGCTCCCCGGGCGCCCAATGACTGCCCACTGCTTCACTGAGTGAATGGGTTAAATGCAGAGAGGGATTTTCCCCACGGGGACCAATAAAGTACACTTTCTTCTTCTTTAAATCTCATTGGCATCTATCATTCTCCTTGCAGATGGCTTTGTGCAACCCACCTCCTCCCCATCTCTACCTCTCATCACTCAGGCTCCATTCAAGCCACCTTCATCTCCACCACCAGCATCTCCGTCCTGCTCTAATCCCTTTCACCCACTCCGCTGAGACGGGCCACCAGAGTCTATCCACTATCTATATTCTTTTCATCAATAAATCACGCTCATTTTTTCTAATCATCTCTCCCCATTGAACTTAATGTTGGTCTTTTTTATAGGTAACATGAAAATTATCTATATGTCTTATGAGTTCTTATATGGCTCTCACAGGCTAAGCAGCATGTCATTTGTGTCATAATAACATTAATACATTTGTACAAATTAATATCATGCCGTGTGGTTAAATGTTTGTGCGTGTTGGAAGTTTTTCCCCTCTTTGTTGTAACCACTGTTGGGGTCATCACTCATAAAAAGTAATGTATTACACACACACACAGAACACTTTTATTAAAATCAATGCAGTGCATTGCTAAATTACTCCCAGGAGAAAGTAATTTGTTATACTACTCATTACATTACTCTTACATTTCTCCATAAAATGACATGAAATCCATTGTCTCATACTTACCATTTATCATTATATGTGGTATCATTATAAACCTATAGGCTACAGTCTTTATAGTCATGCTGACTTCTTGCTAGCTTAGTGTTAGCATGCTGTCCACACATATGCTTGCAAGGAGCAGAAGTTAAGTTAGCAGTATAATGCGGTTGTTTCGCTCCTGGATGCAGCATCCGCTTTACCATCCACTTTAAAATAAAGAAACTGAATTTGAATAAGTTAAATTTGAATTGCTCGGATTGAATCTGAATTGTAACTTGAATAACTGCTTTTAGAAACTGAATATGAATTAGCCTAATTTGAAATTCAGTTTATTGGTTTGAAAATGATCATCACTAAATTGAAATTGAATTTTATATTTTGGTAATGAATTCATTTGCTTTGAAACTGTATATTATCCTTTAAAAATTTAGCTCTCAAATAATTTCAGATTCACTTCTCACCATTCAGTTTCGGTTCCAAAATTCAGTTTTTGGGGACTTACTTCCGGTTCAAGAGTAATGAGTGCAGATTAATAGAACTAGGTTTTACTAGTGGACCGAAACGGGAATCTACAGCATCATGAGCTAGATTAAGATTTCAGAAGTCATTCGTCATGTCGAATGACCAGCGGATAAACTCTCAGGTTGGTAATAAATGTATTACATGTATAAGAACAAGCGTCATGTTAACAAATGATAGCCGTACAGTAACTTTTATGCTTATTGTAGCTGTTAGCTAAAAACGCTAATTTTGCGTAGTTTGCCCTGGATTCAGCTTTGACAACAAATATGATCGACTGTTTCTAGTAGAATTCCAAAGTTGTCATCTTGGACCCTCTCAGAGCTCTGTATGCTTGCAGAGACCCCTACAGTAAGGAAACATGCAAAACGGTGTCCAAACCTTTGTGTTTTAGCTTTATTTATGTCTTACACAGCATCCCAACTCTTTAGCTAACTTAATAACTTTAGCTAAA